GTGAGAGGTATGTTGAGCAAGACGTATTTGCCTTAACTAATGGTATTGTCCCAAGGAGAATAGAGCTTCTACTTAAGGGGTAAAAGCATACACTTTTACCTAGTTCTCTGAGGAATTTGGCTTTTCCCCTGAGTGTCCTTGAGGAACATAGCTGTGGCTGATATGAATTTGCTCATGTTGGTGGTTTTGTTAACCCAAATATACTGAGAAAATAATTTTTAATGATTGTGGAGAAAGTGAGGGCCCTGGTGCAATCTGGGATTCACATTTCATTAGATTGCTACCTAGTGTTTATATGTATATGCTTTGGAATCCTTTGGTTATGTGACTGCCATAGAAAAGCACATTCGGCTAGCCTGCTCCAGCTACTCACCAGAATACCACAGACCAATACAATTGACATAAAGAACAGCTTTGCATAGTGAAATCATCAACAGATGTCATATCCAATGGTGAATCTTACAAGGAAGATGGCCATTGAGCTGGGCAGAAAAGCAGTCATGGAAGAAAAACTTAGGTACAGAAAGGGACACATGGCAAAGATTAGAAGATAGAGAATGTGTCATTCCATCTGACATCCCTGTTTCCTGCCAAGGACTATGCTTTTGACTTCCTTTACAGATTTGAGGGACCTGGACCGTTGCGGTGATATTTTGCTTATGATCTAATAAATAAACCTTGCTTGAAGATCAGAGTGCAAAGCTAGCCACACTAGTCAACTATAGAGGCCAGACAGTGGTGGCACACACCTTTAATCCCAGCAGCCACACTAGTTAGCCATAGAGGCCAGGCAGCAGTGGTACATACCTTTAATGCCAGCACTAGAAAGGAGTATAAGACAGGAGGAGACAGGAGTCATTCAGTCTGCAGTCACACTGAGGACAGGATCGTCCTTTGTGGTCTGAGCTTTGGTAGAAGTAAGAGCTCTCTAGTGGCCTGGCTGCTTTGCTTTTCTGATCTTCAGCTTGAACCTCAATATCTGTCTCTGGGTTTTTATTATTCAGGCTACAGACCATTCCTTCTGGAATATGTCTTTCTATCTAGAGTCTCCATGTTTTCCTTTTGCCTCATTTTTAATGAGTCACTGCTGACCTTTGAGGTTTGTCTTCATGGCTTTCTGTGTGGTATCCGTGGTGATCGGTGGTTGATACAGACTTCAGTATGCTGAGTAGTTAGACATTCACATCTCAGGCATCCAATGCTCAGAGAAGTGTGGTCAGTCCCTTCAAGTGAGACACCTAAGGAGAGGCACAAGGAGTCTCTCATCTCTTGACATATCTTACTGTGTTTATTATGGCATTTTAGTTGCTATAATGACAGGAAGCTGAGCCTGAGTAGGGAGGGGTAATGGAACATTTTGGTTTGAGGGAAAGCCAATAAAGGTTCTGTGTATTACCAAAGCTCACGCTCATGAAATGGCCTTGACTACCATGTCATTATTCCCAGCACTCAGGAGGCAGAGGCAAAGGCAGGTGGATTTCCATGAGCTTAAAGGTAATCTGGTCTTCACAGAGAGTTCCAGGACAGCAAGGAGTAAAGAACAAGATGTGTCAAAAAGAAAAAGGAAACAAGAAAAGACATCTGACACTGTGATTCTTCCCTCTGGCTAACTTCTTCCATTGCCTACTTCCTTTAGTGTGTATTTAAAGTCATGCTCTAAAAACATCGCTTCGGGTTCTCCTGGCCTACCCATCATTCACTAGTATTTACTATCTTCAGAATGCTTTCTCTCTTCTTATCACTCATGAGTCTTGTATGGAAATTATAATTTGAACACAAGTTTATTTAGCCATAATTGACCCTTATTGTTATTCAAAGTCAGTTCAAGCACTGTTTTTACTTCAAGAAGAACTAAATCATCCTATGGAATTCTGTTTTGACTGAACGTTTTTTTGTGACCAGACAACATTTGGGAACTTTCTCTGTGTACTCCCTTTGACAGGTGATTGTGGTTGAACAGCTCTTTCAACAGACATCGTTTTGGCAGAGCTGAAGGTCATATAGTTTCCCTCTAAATAATTATGACTTATGAAATGGATAAAAGCCCTACATTGTCTGATATATAAACTTAGAAATTGTCAGATGGGGTCAGGGACAGAGTTAACCTAGATTTCACCCTGGCTTATTTAAGACATCAAAGACAGGGACAAAGCAATTGGACACACTGTTTTAGAAACATCTTCGGTGGAGAGATAAAAGGTGAGTCACCAAAACTGTTTGTCCTTTATGTCCTGAAAATGTCCCTTCCCCACAGAGATCAAGTCTCTTCTTTTAAAAAAGTGATGTGAACAGCAGCCAAGAATTTGAAGTGGGAACTGTGCATTTAAAATTTTTTTCAGTAGTAATATTTACATACATAAATAGGTCATTTTATTCTGGAAATAATAAAGATAATGATTCTGAAGTAAGGTAAGCTAGACAAGAAACTACAAAGGTTTTTTTTTCTTTACAATTATCCAAATATTTACAACAGTCTTGATTTTCTCATTTTCTCAGAGAGGATGTAGAAAAGAGCTTTGTTCACCCAGCTGACACTCAAGCCCTCTTTCTCAGAACTCTCGACCATTGTTCTTGCTATACTATTTTTTTGCAAAGTCCCAGCTATGTGTTTATTTTTCACATATTATATAACTTAACAAACTATTTATCCTTATCATCACTTTGTAAGATTTGAGACTTCCTGACTTTCATATTCTCAGAAAGATTCTCAAAGAAAGCAAAGTCACATAGGCTTATTTCCCTGGTTAACTTCAGAACAAGACAGTAATACTATCTAGATAGTTCTATTTTTACTCTATAATGAGGACACTGAATCTAAAAATTGCACACATCCCTGAGCTGTTACATTTCTTGTTCACTTTAACCTGAATAAGGGCTTCACGTTTTCATGGAATTAGATTTATGCAATGCCTGTTTCAAGGCAGTACACAGCTTGTCACAATCAAATTTAGTGTTTATTTCTCCTTGTAATGAGAAAACCCTCTGGCTGTCCAACCAGCTGTAATTTCTCACTAGCTCTGCATAAACATTTCAATATATAATGAGTCATTGTTGGATTCGATAAAGAAAATGGAATTAGAGAAAGAGTAATTTACATTTGGGTTGCCCTCCCATTAAGGTTTGTAACAAATGTGGAAGAAATGAAAATACCTGAGGCAAAAGGGGGTGTAATGGCACAGCTTGTCATTCTTACACTGAAATGGAGGATGAGAAACTCAAGGTCATCTTTGACCACACAGCAGTGTCCAAGCCAGCCTGGCCTACATGAGACCTTGTTTCAGAGAGGTCTGGGAATGGGGGTGGGGGTTAGAAGAAGAAGAAAGATGGTTCTGGTTTTCAAAATGGGGAGGAATGTTTGGTGTTACCTTGACTTACTATCTGTAGGCTTTACCGGACGCTGTAACAATACGCGACACACAATTACTGACAGTAAAGCTAATTATTTAATGTAGAAAATTACTCACAAGATACCAAACCCAGAGGAGCAGTTTTCAGTGTCCGAACCGGAAGCCGAACTCCAGGAAAAAGAGAGCGAGACTTCCTGTGTGCTGTCTTTTATGCCTTCCCTGTAATGCCCCTAGCCATGCCCAAAAGTGGGCCTGGCTAGTGACGTAGTTCCGCCTATGTACGTATACGTCTTTACGTCCAGCCGTATACTTCTTTAGTCCTGCCTAAAGTGGGTGTGGTTAGCGGTGTGGTAAACCGCCCTTTTATTACTTCATCTGTATGCGCCTCTAATAAGTCACATGTTTAATGGCGGCATCAGACTTCCTCCTACTACTATCCGTTGCCAAGGTTCTTTGCTTACTTATGTTCAGACCCTGTATTTGTTGATCAGAAACATTCCACGAAGAGGATGTTGGGTTCCCAACAGGGCCCAAGCCTCCAACATAAGAGAAGTCCCCACAGAATCCATCCTGCCCTGCTTCTCCACATCCTCCAGTACAAAGCGGATGGGAGTGTGTGCCTGGAGGAAAAACAGCCTGAAAAAGATGATGATCTACCCAGAAGTATGGCTCTGGATATGATTTAAGTTTGTTCCCCAAAGCTCATGACCTGTAAGCTTGTGGTAGTCTTGCTGGGGAGGGACCTGTGAGAACTGGAGCTCTGTGTAAGGTAACTAGTAAAGGCAGTCACTGTTCTTGGGAAGGGTTACTGCTGCTCTGCTGGAGTCAGTTCTTGATAAAGTGGGTTTGTAGGAAGCAGACTAGGTACACCTGTGCTTTCCCATTGGGACGTGACACAATCTTCACTGGAGTCCTGGCCGAATATCTGTGACACTGGGTTTTCAGCCTCAGAAATTGTAAGTCATATGAATCCCTAATGAACTTTCTAGACCCAGATACTTTTTTGTTGCAACAGAAGATAGGAAAAACAAGCAGTGAGCAAGCAACCTTCTAGCCTGTGCCTCCTGGTAGACAATATGTGGGCACAGGCCTCTTCCCTCTAGAGTATGTGACTTCAGATCACCCGTTGTGAAATACCAGCAAAGACTCCTTCCTCTAGGTATTTTACAAAGTCCTTTTGCATCTAGTCTTACCTCCTGAAAGCTTCCTAAGAACAGCCTGATGGTGACCGCTGCAGTTCCCTTTTATTCTCTTTAAATGTAAGATGCATTTTTCTTACATTTATATTGATATTTAATATTTGATATTTGAGCCAAAATTATTTGCTTTCCAACTTTTGACCTTTCTGTATGTGCAGTACCTGACCTTGGTACTGAAAAATATCTCCCTGTTTAAAATGATATATTAGGCTTGTAGCAAAATTTGGATTGCATCAACAGATTTTTGGCCCAGCAGGTCCCGCTGTCCTTGAGACCCAAATAAACACATGGATGTTATACTAATTATAAAAGCTGTTGACTGGTGGATTGGGCTCCTTATTGGCTAGCTCTGCCTTAGTTATTAAACCATAACTATTAATCTATGCATTTCTACATGGACTTATCTTACCAGAGAATGCCTGCCTTGTGTCCTCTCTTCCCAGGCTTACATGACGACTCCTCTCTGCCTACACTTCCCAGAATTCTCCTAATCTCCTAGCCCCACCTGTCTTTCTGCCTGGCCAATAAGTGTTTTATTCATCAACCAATAAGAGAAACCTATACAGAATCCCATTATTGGATCAAGATTGAAGAGTCTCACTGGGATCATTGAGGACTTGAAAAATGGGCTCCCACAGCAAGAAAGAGAGGCTGTGCATAGTAATTAACACAGGTAAGCCACAGAGAACTCAACACTCCTCAGAGTATAGTGTCCCACCAGACTTCTAAGGGACATTTCCGTGGATGTTCATGTCATCCTAGAGAAGGCACAATTATGCTTCATTTGTTTGTGTATGCTACTTGAGTTGATAAACCATTTAAAACCTCAATTCAGCATTCTTAGAATAAGCAGAGATACTGTTCTGAATTGACAATTTAAGCAAAATCTTTCACATTCAGAGATCAGGAATCCTTCAAGAATTTTGTTTCCATTAGAATTTGAGAAAAAAATTGCTAGTGTAGAAAATTTATTGAAGTGATAAGAAGCTGAATCATCCTAAAATTGCAGATTACAAGTCACCACAGAAAAGCTAGTGGCTTGTACATATCTCACATCGTGAGAGGCTGTGTCTGGAATGCTGGAGAGGAGAAAGGCAGAACATTGATAGTGAATGTCTGAAAATGCCAGTCTTGGTGGCAAAAGACCTGGTAATATTGTTGGGGCCCACAAAGATGGCTCTGCTTTATCTTGCCTCAAGGTCAGAGAGTTCAAAGCTGTCCTTAGTAAGTCAAAAGACCTAAAAAGCTACTGTAGGATATTTTGGTCTTGGTAGTACATGTCTTATCTAAATAACAACAGCCTTGGGCTCAGGTGTGTTTACTCTTGACTGTCAAGGCGAATAACAGGTGTGGTCACCAAATGTTTGGAGGATTAAGAGAAGAAAGTCTGTTTGCTCTTTATAAATGATAATAGAAGTCTTTTGCCATGTCCCCCCTTTTGGTTGGGGTACTTAAGAATGTTGAAGAATAACTTGTGGCATTCATAGGGCTTATATAGGGCTTCTTAAGGGCGGAGCTTTCCTAAAGAGAAGTTTTTTCCTGCTCAGGGATTGGTTAGCTTTCCTGCTCAGAGATTGGTTGGTTTTGCATTTCAGTTGGTCAAGGACAGAGTTGGCTCTGGTTTCAGTGCCAAACTATGTTTCTTTCACTGGCCTCCCCCCCCATCAAGTTTTGGAGCCGGGGCATATTACCTTGCCTGGCTCTGGTTCCAGGGTCAAAGTGTGTTTCTTTCACTGGCTCTGGGTTCAGAGCAAGAGTGTTTTTTGTTGTTGTTGTTGGTTTTTTTAGGGGGGGGAGGGTGGCCCTTTTACCATACACATGTATGCACAAATGAAAACAAATTAACTTTAAAATCTCATTTTTAGATGTGCAAAGGTTGTTTGGAGGCCATTTAAAATGCCTCACTTTAAGTATTCTCTCTAAACTGTCTTTGTATACAGAGCACTATCGTGGGTACTAGTGGTGTTTGTCAGTGTATATATGCTTCAGGCCTTCTTGTATCCATCTTTGGCACTGTAGTTTTTCTGTTCCTTCTGACATGGAGCAGGGGGAAAGTGATCAGAAAATGATTTTTGAATGAAATATATTCACAGTGTGACAGATTTCACAGGCAGATTCCATCTGATGTGATACATGGAACAGATGAAACATATTTTAAAAGATTAGCTACTGCATTAAATAGAAGAAAGGGGAGGATAGGAGAAAAGGGTAGGAGAAGGAAAAGAAACCAAGGCCAGTCAGGTATTGATTCCCCTAGCTACTTGGGAGGTTGAGGTAGAAGGTACCTGAGGTCACAACTTCAAGACCAGTCTGGGCATGTGGAAAGACATCCATCTCCAAACAGCAGCCAAATCAGCAGAAGAGTTTTAAATGGCAGGTTCTCTCATGTGAAGTCCTAGTACCATGTAAATACTACTTTTTCTGGAATATTATTGGAAAAGGTGATTTTTGTGGAGTTAGGTAAATCATATCAAGTTGTTTACACTTGATCCAACAAGATCCTAAGAGCTATCCGAAAACCTTAGATACCAAAGATGCTTGATAAGAACAGCTGCATAGCCTGGGTGGTGGTGGCACACCTTTAATTCCAGCACTGAGGAGGCAGAGGCAGGTGGATCTCTATGAGTTTGAGACCAGCCTGGTCTAAAAGACCTAGTTCCAGGACAGCCTCCAAAAACCACAGAGAAACCCTGTCTTGAAAAACAAAAACACCTTTAATCCCAGCACTTGGGTGGCAGAGGCAGGAGGATCTCTGTGAGTTTGAGGCCAGCCTGGTCACAGAGCAAGTTCCAGAACAGCCTCCAAGACAATACAGAGAAACCCTGTCTCGAAAAAAACCAAAAACCAAAACAAAACAAAACAAAAGCAAAACACCAAAAACCAACTACAAAAACAACAACAACAATAACAAGAAACAAAACCCCAGCTGCATATGGGACAGTTGGGACTGAGGAGACTAGGTAGGATATATTGTGACTCCTCAGGTGCTGTAAGAATGAGAAACTGTACTTGATTAATGGTCATATTATCAGTAAAAATAGTGGAACAGAAATAGTCTGTTTTTTGTTACTACAGCAAAATATAGCTAACTGTAAAGAGTTAGATCTAAATGGAACCCACTGCATCTCCCTCCCTCCCTCCTTCCCTCCGTCCCTCCTTCCCTCCCTTCCTCCCTCCTTCCCTCTCCCTTCTGCCCTCCTTCCTCTCTCTGTCACACATACAAATTAATAAAACAAATAAAAGACAAGAAAGTAGAAAAGGTTTCCTTGGAAAGAGAAAATGAATTACCGGGAAGGACACAACAGAGGGTAACAGAGATATGGATTCATCGTTGAAATATATTGTGTGCATGCATGAAATGTCATAATGGAACCATTATTGTGCAGAATTAAGATATGATAATAAAACATTTAAAAACCAAAGTTCAGATGTCGAGGTGCAGGCTTTGTGGAAGGCACTTTTTGATCAAATCACCTCATGGAGGATGGCATGGGGAGGAAGAAGGTCTTCTCAGAACAGAAAGACACCAGACTGGGGTCATGCAGTCCCTTCCAGCAACACACCTCACTTAAGGACTTCCTCCAGACCTTATCTCTTCAAAGCTTCAAAAACCCCCAGTGCCTACATCTTGGGGACCAAGCTTTTGATTCCTAAATCCTGGAAGACAAACAACATCAAATACAATGATGAATATATAAAAAGTATTTTGAGGGTTTATCACTGTTGGAGGTAAAAATTTTCTAAGTCTCTGTGCTCTAGCCCCTCAATACTTGGGATTGGTCTCTCTCACTCTCTCTCTCTCTCTCTCTCTCTCTCTCTCTCTCTCTCTCTCTCTCTCTGTGTGTGTGTGTGTGTGTCTGTGTGTGTGTGTGCCTGGTGAATGGGTGTGTATGTGTGTATGTGTGTGTATCAGACTAAAAACTAAATTTAAAACATTTTGTTTAGTCTGTAATGCATATGGTGGGTCAAGTAGGATGAAAGTTACATTTAAAAAATAATGTTTCCAATATACTAGTGGATAAGAAAATGCTAAGATCCTTGGAAGACTTCACTGGGGAAAAGGTCATAATTAATTGCCAGTTCTACGCAAGCTTATAGGGACTTGAACCTTTCCCAGACAGAACTGGGTGACCCCCTTCTGAGCTCCATGGCAACTGTTCCATATATTGTCACTGGACTTACCCTTTTCTGTGACTGGAAGTTCACTTTTTACCACTCCTTGGAAGAAGGCACTCAGTTATCCTGTTTTAGACCAGGCTGTGAACAACCTGCAGTCAAAAGCACAAACTGCATGTGTGGCTGGTTTGTGTCTGCTCATTCATGCACTCCTGTATGTGCATGTTATCAGGGTCAGGACACAGAGCACCGTAAGTCCCCCTTTCCCCTTCTCAGTCTGTGGTCATGTTGTACCCAAACTCTGAGCCACAAAATCACCAAAAGACCCCAACTGATGTAAAAGCAAAGAGTCTTTACTTAGTAAACGAGTTAACTGTATTAACTTGATTCCTCCGTCCATCCCACACAGTTGATGGAAGGAGAAGGACCCAGAGGGACCTCGGGGGAGGAAATTTATTGGGATGGATCAAGGGGAATGTCTGGGGTTCACAACAATGTCAGGATTGGTGCACTTCTGGGCTTGGGCGACCTGGCCTGTGTTGATTAGTCAGCTGGTTGCTATGGCCTATAGGCCCTCTCAGGGTTGTTGCTATGCTCTGTATGTCACTGTTACTGTAAAGCACATCCAGAGCCTGACAGCTAACTTCTGATTGGTTCCTTGCCACATGGAGGTATCTGGCTTCCTAGTGCCTAGGACGTCGCACAAGGTCAGGAATCTCCACACAGTTTGCTAAATCAGAGGCATACATCTTGCTGGGTCTTTCCTGCAGCCAAAGCAGGGGGCTCAGTGAGGTTCTGGTCCCTTAGGTCAGAAATGCTCAGACCCCACTCCAAGCGCTCATTGGCTTCTACCACAGTTTTTTCCTGTCTGTTCTTTAAATAAGTGCATCATTCCAATGTATTCTGCTGTACACATGTGTTTGTGACTCATATCTGCCACTGTGCCAATTGGTTGCTTTTTTACTGTGCTTAATATTGCATTATTCTTTATTTTCCTGTTGAATAATATTTAAGGTGCTTCCAGTTTTCTGGTACTGTGATTAAGGGTGATATTAATATTCTTGCATGTATCTTTCTGAGGATGCTTGTATTCATTTCCTCTCACTGTATCTAGGGATGAAACTGCTGAGGGTGAGTGTATGTTTGGCTTTCTTAAAACTGTTAATATTTCTTCCAGGTGGCTGTAGCAACATGCTCTGCTACCATTGATGAGCCCTGAAGTTGGCCCACTGCTGCAGTAACACGTGATGTAGACAGTCTCAGAGTTTCATAAATTTGGGTGGGTGGGTAACATGTTTTAAATTGTATTTTTCTGCAGGGGACTGATGTCAAACATCCATTTATCCATTGTTGGCCATTTAGATATCTTTTACAAAATGTCTCTTCCAATATTTCATGGATTTATAATATTAGATTATCTTTTCTCATTATTTTACTTTTTGGATGACTAATGATCAATGTAGTGGCTGGTAATTATCAAGTATTGAGTAAAACAAATGTAGTAAACAAAGCCAGCTTTATTTGCAAATGTTTCTTTGTTACTGGTCACGTGAAATAAATTATGGAAGCAATTGGTTTCTATGGTACATTTGAATTTACTATTTTTTTAATATCCAAGGGATACATTTTATACATTGCTGTTATATTTATGAGAAGTATTTTCACTTGCATCAGGTTTTAATTCATTCATGCGTTGAGATATTTACCATAACAGCGTCTGGAAGCCCAGAACACAAATTGTAACATTACCATTTATTCCTTTAGTGTGGTAGAAAGATAGGTTTAACACAATGTCTAAAGTGTGGGCTCTATCTTACTAGGCACATTCTTATTTGACTCCTAGACTATAAAATATGCCTTCTGATCCTGCAATGATAAATAAGATTTTAAAAATATGAAAATGTTTTAAAACTCCAATTTAAGATTATTTTGTATCTGAACACTAATTCTTATTATGAGTAAAGCTGGCAGGGGCCACATTCAGACAGGAGCTGCCTGCCAGACCTGGTTCAGAATTGGTGATGGAACAACTCAACCGACAGGAGCAGGGGATTCTAACCCTGGCCTACAGCAGAACTTCATCCAAGTGCCTACCCCCACACCATGCAGCTGGAGTGGACTGAACACAGCCAAATGCACCAACCAGGAACTTGTTTGGCACCTATGGCACCAGGTGGTTGAGTACTGTAGTGATCTCCTTGAGATGAGGAAGCAAGGCCCAGCCCTACATAGAGGCACAGAGACCCACACACAGGCCTGTGGCAGCCTATCCCAGGCTCCAAAGAGAAAACATGGCACACTTGATACCTTGAAGCACCATTCAGAAGGCCACTATTAGAGAGAGCAGAGGCACAGTGTGATGTCTTATGAGGAGGGAGGGAGAGGGAGGGAAGAGGGATGAGGGATGGGGAGGGGGAGGAGAGGGAGGAAGAGAAGGGAGGAGGGGGTGAGGGGGAGGAAGAAGGGAGAGGAAAGGATTCAGGTCCCATGGACAGAGTCAAAATTGAAGAGACAGAAAGGCAGGGAAGGTGCAGAAATGGTGAGGGAAGTAACCCCTTGACCAGCAGTAACATGTGGGTAAGCCACTCCTGCATTTTGTGTGGGGAGCGCAGCAGAGATTACCCTGTTGATGAGAGCACAGGTGCGCCAACCCTGAGAATGGGAGTGTGGGAGACCTAGTCCCAGCCCTCATCTGCCACAAAGCCACATGGTTTGAGGAGAGATGCCCTTTCCCTCCTGCCTGAGGTGGGTGGGAGAGCTGGCACTGTGGTCATAAGGGCAAGAGAGTGGTCCTTGACCCCCAACAGCTGCAAAACTCAGGAGAGCAGACATTGCACCCTCCCTGGGTAACAAAATAGAGCCAACCCTGTTGACAGAGATGTGGGTGAGCTAGCCCTGAAGCAGTGAAAAAGGGAGAGCTGATATCCATATATGAGTAAGTATATTCCATGTTTGTGTTTCTATGACTGAGTTAGCAAGCCCAGGATGGTTTCTTATAGTCCCATCTGTTTGCCTGCAAATTTCAAGATTTCATTGTTTTTTTTTCCACTGAGTAGTACTCCATATTGTAAATGTACCACATTTTCTTTATTCATTCTTTAGTTGAGGGGTATCTAGGTTGCTTCCAGGTTGTGGCTGTTACAAATAACGCTGTTATGAACACAGTTGAACAGATATCCTTGTAGTATGAAAGTGCATCCTTTGGGTATACGCCTAAGAGTGGAATTGCTGAATCTTGAGGTAGACTGATTCCCATTTTCCCGAGAAACTGCTATACTGATTTCTAAAATAGCTGTACAAGTTTGCACTCCCACCAGCAATGGAGGAGCGTTCCCCTTTCTCCACGTCTTCTCCGGCATAAACTGTCATTGGTGTTTTTGATTTTAGCCATTCTGACAGGAGAAAGATGGTGTAGTGACCAGTCCCCCATTTTAGCAGCCATTACAGACTAACATGTGCTTGCATGGCCTTACCGTTCCTGTCCTGGTCACTAGGAGGTCAGATGCCCTCCTCGTGGCAAAGAACCAATCAGAAGTTAGCTGGCAGGGCTGTGCTTTACGGCTCTGGGTGTGCTTTATGGACAAGTGCACATCAGTGACATGCAGAACATAGCAACCACCCTTGGGAGGGCCTATGGGCCATAACAACCAATTGACCAATCAGCACAGGGTAGGTCACCCAAACCTGGAAGCGCACCAATCCTGAGACTGTTTCATACCCCTAGACACTCCCCTTACACTGTCCTTTAAGGTCCCTGCCTCGAGGTTGCTTGGGGTCTTTCTCCAGCCATTCGCCATGGTGGTGGGGTGAAGGGCCCAAGCTAATGGGGTTAGCTCGTTAAACATCTACAATAAAAGACTCTTTGCTTTTGCATCAAAATGGGCCTCTTGCTGATTTTGGGGTTCACAATCAGGGCACAGTATCTCAGAGTTGTTTGATTTGCATTTCCTTGATGGCTAAGGATGTTGAACAATGTCTTTCAGCCATTTTAGATTCCTCTATTGAAAATTATCTGTTTAGATCTGTACCCCACTTTTTAATTGGATAATTTGGTGTTTTGGTGACTAGCTTCTTGAGTTCTTTGTGTATTTTGGAAATCAGCCCTCTGTCAGATGTGGGGTTGGTGAATATCTTTTCCCATTCTGTGGGCTGCCATTTTGTCTTGTTAACAACTGTGCCTTTGCCTTACAGAAGATTTTCTGTTTCAGGAGGTCCCATTTATTAATCGTTGATCTCAGTGTCTGTGCTACTGACTTTATGTTCAGGAAGTGGTCTCCTGTACCAATTAATTCAAGGGTACCTCCCACTTTCTCTTCTTAGAGTTTCAATGAGGCTAGATTTATGTTTAGGTCTTTGATCCTTTTGGACTTAAGTTTTGTACATGGTGATAGATATGGATCTGTCTGCAGTCTTCTACATGCCAATATCCTGCTATGCCAGCAGCATTTGTTGAAGATGCTTTCTTTTTTCCATTGTATAATTTTAGCTTCTTCATCAAAAATCAGGTGTTTGTAGGTGTGGATTAATATCAGGGTTTTCATTTCAATTCCATTGGTTCACTTGTCTGTTTTTGTGCCAATACCAAGTTGCTTCCATTACTATAGCTCTATAATAGAGCTTGAAGTCAGTGATGCCGCCAGAACTTCCTTTATTGTACAGGGCTGTTTTGGCTATCTTGGGTTTTTTGTTTTTCCATATAAAGTTGAGTATTGTCTTTTCAATGTCTGTGAAGAATTGTGCTGTGATTTTGATGGGGATTTCATTGAATCTTGTAGATTGCTTTTGGTAAGGTTGCCATTTTGACTATGTTGATCCTACCTATCCAATCTTTCAATTTTCTGGTATCTTTCTGGAAAGACTCAAACTTCTTGTCATACAGGTCTTTCACCTGTTTGGCTAGAGTTACCCCAAGATATTTATGTTGTTTATGGCTATTGTAAAGGGTGATGTTTCTCTGATGTATTTCTCAGCCCCTTTATTGTCTATATATAGTAGGGCTACTGATTTTTTGAGTTAATCTTGTATCCTGCTACTTTGCTGTAGGACTTCCCTGGTAGAAATTTTCAAGTCACTTATGTAAAGTATCATATCATCTACAAATAGTGAAAGTCTGACTTCTTCCTTTCCAATTTGTATCCCCTTGATGTCCTTTGGTTGTCTTATTGCCCTAACTAGAACTTCAAGTACAGTGTTAGGATTATCAGCCTACAATCCATACTTCCAGAGATGCTACGAAACAAGGAGGACCATAAGAGAAGCATACATGGTCCCCCAGAGAAGGGGAAAAGGACAAGAACTCCTGAACAAATTGGTGGGAGGGAGGAGGGAGCTAGGAGAAAGAGAAGGGGGGAAGAAAATATGAAGGATCAGGAAGATTGAGTTTGGGAAGAATAGAGGAAAGCAAGATAAGGGAACCATTGGAGGTTTAAAGAGAACTCCGGCATGTGGGAAATGTCTAGAGATCCACAAGGATGATCCCCAACTAAGAATATAAGCAATAGTGGAGAGGCTACCTTAAATGCCCTTCGCCTATAATGAGAATGATGACTACCTTAAATACCAGCCGAGAGCCTTCACCCAGTAGCTGCTGGAAGCAGAAGCAGAGATCCACAACCAAGCACTGAGCTGAACTCCTGGAATCCAGTTGTAGAGAGGGAGGAGTGATGATCAAAGGAGTCAAGACCACAGAAACAGCTGACTTGAGAAAGTGGGAGCTCAAAGACCCAAGTTGGACAGCTGGGGAACCAACATAGGACCAAACCAGGCCACCTGAAGGTGGGTGTCAGTTAGGGTGGTTGGGAAGTCTATAGGGCCTCTGGCCGTGGAACCAGTATTTATCCCTAGTGCAGGAATGGACTCTGGGAACCTGTTCCCCTATTGGAGGGATAACCCTCTTGTTCAGATACTTGGAGGAGGGCCTAGGCCCTGCCCCAAATGATTTGACAGACTTGATGATTCCCCCTGGAAGGCCTCGCCCTCCCTGGTGAGTCAATGGGGGATGGGATGGAGGGATTGGTGGGGGGTATAGAAGGATGTAAGGGAAAGGGGACTGGTATTTATATGTAAAATAAGATTGTTTCTAATTTAAATAGAATTCCTGATCCCTACCAGTGGCAACACTCAGGAGTGTGTGCTCTGCACCCTGCCAGGGCAGCACAATAGAGCCAACCCTGTTGGTGCTGGTGTGGGTGAGCCAGTCCCCAAATCATGAGCATGGGACAGCTGTCCCTATTTCCTACCTGCCTAGTGGTGGCATGGGCAGTGGAGAGTTGCACTACCCCCCTCCCCCATCAATGCCTGAGGCAGATGGGAGAGTTGGCCCTGTGACCCCCAGCAGCTGCAACACTCAGGAGAGCGGGCCCTGCACCTCACCAGGGCAGCACAATGAAGCCAACACTGTCAGCGCAGATGTGGGAGAGCCAACCCTGAATCTGTGTCCATGGGAGAGCTGTCCCCATTACCCATTTGTCTTGTGGTAACCGGTGGGGGAGAAGTGCCCTCCCCAACACACATAAATAAATGCCGTGCAGATGGACCTCAGGAATCTGGGGACCATTGAGTGCCTATGTTC